TATTACTCAAATTCTTAATTACAATAACAAGTACACAAAAATAAACAGTATTGGCAATCGTGTTTAGATTGCAGGGAAACGGGACATGAATAATGTTTCATTCCACTTTTTAACGATAGCTTAAAACGGCACACTTCTTAAGAAAATAGACTCTTATCGACAAAGTAACAAAGGTGGGTACCAAAATAGGTCCAAAGGGACAAGAGATGCTACCTCAGTTGTGGTTCAAGATTAGTTACTAGGAGCAGCACTCTAATACTTTCCAGATATGGCAAGTAGTGGCTTCGCTGCTTATGGACAATAAAGTCGTATCAGGTAAAAAGTACACCCGCTTAAAGTCATGATTCAACTATATACAAATCAATATTAGACGTGAGAAAAAAAATAAGACGCAAAATACTGGTGGTATTCAGAAAAGGGAACCAAGCGAAAGAAGTTAGGTGAACGAACAACTTCGGATGCGTAGGTTACGTTTGCAGATCGATGACTGCTTCACTGATATAAAAGTTCCAGCACCTAACGCACCCTAAGCTTGCTCAAAGTCAGGTACACTTCAACGCAATGTCTCTGCGACAGTTCCCATATCCTGAAACCTTCCGCCGGGCGGGGCCGGCACACACCGGTGGCGCAGGGCGGTCTATTTCCCGGCCTCCACGTCTTTGGTCGTTGCGCTCATCTGAATGCCTCCCTCCTCATCGTCATCCTCCTCCGCGATGGGGCCGAGGTAGTCGTCGGCGTAAAGATCGCCGGCGGCGGTGGGCGGCGGCTGGCAGCGGCGCAGCATCGGCACGGTAAAGGACAGCAGCGAGGCCACGACGAACATCCCGCCAGCCGCAAAGAAGGGCACTGCGTACGTGCCCGTCGCGTCGTATAATGTGCCGGCCATTGGCGTGCCCAGGGTAGCGGCCACCCCACGGAACAGGATGAGCAGCCCGAAGGCGTTGGTTAGCTTGTCCAAACCCAACAGGTCCACCAGGATGATGGACGTGAGCGAGATGTAGCCAGCTGCGGGAGGACGGCATCACCGTTAGAATGTTCACTTTACTTTACTTACGCGTGTTGTCATTGTCTTGTTCTGCGGGCGGCTCCCCTCGTCAGCCCGCGCATGTCTCACAAGACTTACAGATGGCGACGGCAAACACCACGGCAATGACCATGAAGGAGTAGATGTCGTGGGCGAAAGGTACTGCACCGGTAGTTAGCCCACACAACAGCAGACACACGTTGTTCAGCAGCAAAGAGTCAACCTTTGGCTGGTCAGCCAGCCACCCGCAGGCCACACGGCTAGCTGTGTTCACGATGCCGATAACCGAGATCAGCAGGGAGGCCGTGTCCACGGGAACACCCTACACAACATATTGTCAGTTAATTTTAATTTGCTCTTCTGTAATTTGCGTACTTTAATATGCTTTTCTTTTTTTTTTCTTCAATCCAAACCTCTGCTGAAGCTGCAGGCACGAGGTACATAAAGGGTATGTAGAGAGCGGCGAAACCAAAGAAGTTGCTGAACCCGATAGCGAGGAAAACGGGATTAGACAGAAGAGAAAAGTCGAGGAGCTGAGAGAGGGCAAGCTTAACCGAGAGAGGAATGGTAAAGCACGGGCAGCACTCGGCTAAAGGAGAAACAAAGAGCAAAAGATGTACAAAAACGCAAATTGAACAAATTAATGAATGAATGAATGGCTACTTACGAGGAGGTGCCTCTCCAGCCTCCACCGCCATTCTCGGCAATGAAACAACGCTCTGGCGGTAATTGGCAAGAGACTTCTGGCTTTGGTACTCGGGCAAGTTGGTGATGGATCCCGAATAGAAAATATCCTTTCGCGCCAGGGGTCTCACCATCTCCTTGCGGTCCCGCGCGATCTTCATGCTGATCCTGGAGGCCGTCATCATGCTCACGCTGTCGGAGAGCTGTTGGAGAAAAGCAGCAGCGTCAGAGCACACGAGCGTTTAGGACAGTCGTAATATGATTGTGTGATAGTTGTTAAAGTCCTCGGGTAAAGAGCATGCCCATGCTAGCTCATAGGGTGCGTCCCCGAATGAAATGAGAGGCGTGCAGCCCCAGGCCTTAAACGAGAACCACGAGGTAAATATCTTGGCATTGCCTGAGGTGAATAGGCAAGGAGGTCACGAACACATCACAAAGATACATATCAAAATGACTTCCTAGTTATTAATTGTGCACGGGTGACATCATCTGGGACATCAGATGGACGTTTATGACCCCAAAATGACTTTATTGACAACCGTGGCCTCCTTCTGTATGGAGCATGCAACAAATGCAATCTAACCCAAAGGCATGGATCGTGCCGAGTGCAGTGTGAAGAGGAGCTCAGTGCGAAGCATAGTTTTTACCCCCTGGTCGCAAACGTTGCAAGCTCACAGGGTGGAAAGGACTAAAAGTAAACGATTTTAAAGCTATAAAGATAAAGAGAATGTCTACAGAAAACCCATTGATACGGGGTCGAGAAAAAATAAGAAAAAAGCATTTGCTAGGTGTAAAGATTAGAAAACCACTGTAACTTTCTTTTCAAACACACACACACACTCACAGCATAATTAAAGGAAATTCAACCCCCCTAGAAGCAATTATCATATTATGTTTGACGCCAAAATATATAAAAGCAAAACAGAAAAAGAAAAAAAGCTTCAAAAATACTACATATAAAAATCAGGAAAGTTGGAACGATCAGGCGACACCTCAAAAAAATAATAATAAATCTATTTCGGGGAATACTATAGACCACACGTCTAAAGACTGTCTTACTGTATAAAAGTTAAAATTTAGTCTTACCTCGGTCAAGGAAAGTGCAGCATCGGCGTGACGTTTTTGATTTGTTTTGCTTTTTTGCACGATCTTACGACAGGCTAATGCATTCCGCGCTCATTCCGAGACTTCCCCATATTCCAGACGTGCACGACATGCTATGAATAAGACGAGGACAGACTATCCGGACATTACGGCGACACGAAGCACAACGACGATTTAATGCGATCGAACTTTCAAACGTAGCTTCGTAAAGTTTCGACTGATTTCCGCGGTTGCAGTGCTCTTGGAGAAAAGGGAAAAGAGTAGGCGAGAGAGAAAGAGAGAGCAGCACAGAGATGTGAGGAGGGTTCAAATTATTTCTAGGTTTAATTTTTAGATGCGTTGCTTGCGCAAATATATTTTGCACAAACCTCTTCACAATTTAAACAGTTGTGCAACACATTGTGTACACTACTTATAAATGAAGAAGCGGGTTCATGGTCAGAAATTCTGGTAACCAAAACCAATGCAAATCTATCTCGAATTAAAAATCAAGGACTCGTCCAAATAAGATCAAATCATGAGCGCTTTACTACTCATTAGAAAACTTTTCTACTGTATCCCGATTCGCACAATCTGTACAAGAAATGAAGGGATTTCCTTAGTAGGGTAGGAACTGGGAATCCCTCTTGCAACCCTCGTCAGACATAAACAATCAAGCAGATGGCGCCCTTGGAAGAAAAGCAAGCTATATCACAGCTTTGTCCTTTGCTTTAATTAATTAAAAAAACTTTTTATGAACTCTTTGCATGCATTATTTTGCCAAACTTCGTTATGAGATTAAACCAAGAACACTGCTTATTCCCTTCCTTCACGCATTTACGCATCATACACTTTATTTCGAAGCGAAGAAAACGCTGTAAAGAGAACCACAGACAGAAAACAGACCTCCATCCATACAGAACAAATAGACAAGACCAGATTGGCACGTTGAGCAGGGGGAGAAAGTGTGGCGCGTAGTGCATTGGAGCCACAATGACAAACCTGAGACGAGGACAAAGACGTCTTGCGTCCTTTGTCAATTGACTTCTCAGCGTTTTCAAACTGACAGCCAAAGTCTAATACCACTGTTATTCAAACACTGTGCGTCACATTAGAACGACTATGACTTGTGTCACATTGGTCAGAATATTGTGTCACATTCGTTATAACGTGGCAAAGCTACACATATGCCATGCGTACTGCCTGTGAGGACACAGCAAGGCAATGAAAGTCACGTTGTAAAGGAAGTGACATGATATTCTCAGCAATGTGGTACACTCCACTTGATTTAATGTGACGTCACTGTGTTTGAATAACAGTGAAAACCCATTAAGTGTGGGCTTATTCTTCCAGTGAGCAGCTAAACGAATCGTTCACAAAAGCAGGAATAATTTCATTTTAGATTTAAAGTTAATAAATCACAATTGATTTGCGACCATTATTCACTGTTAGTTTGTCTTTTTCTTTTGGAAGTGCCAGGTACCTGATTAATCCCGCCCACTTTTATAGTGGCTTCGCATATTTACTCGGGTCCACAGCGCCCTGATCAGCGACGATAGGCAACCAGCCCGCTAGGCGGACATTATGACAACAAAAGTGGGTGGAGTTAACCAGCCACCTGGCATAATGAGAAAAGATGATGTTTAATTTCCTTGCTATCTATTTTGTGAACTGATGAGGTGGAGGAGTAGATCGTGTAGATCCGGAGTGCATCGGCAGGCGGCCCCCACAAGCATGTCCACACACTCACGTCGGTCCGAGACCACATGTCATCGGCGTTGTTGTTAGAGCGACCCGCAAGCGAGGACTTGGACAGGCGAAGGTGGAGCGACTTGCGTACATCACCGTTGGACGTCATCGTGGGCCTTGAGTTGGAGATAGCGGCCAGCGTCGGTCGGAACCTTTCCCCAGTAGACGTTTTGCGGATCCGGTCGAAGAACGGAACAGATCCATTCTTTGGAAGCCCCTGAAAATGTGGAATGTTTACCATGTTAAATTAAGAAGAACGGGGATGGGGGTCTCCATTTGAACCGGTAGGAATTTCGATGTTTTTCTTTTTATAATTACTATGTATCAAACTGTCATTTGCTTTCACAAATTTTATAACAGTGCTTGTAAAATCAACCAAAAAAAGTTAGTGAATTTTTAAAGATTTGTATTCGACTGTATCTATTACTTACTTGGACGTGAGTAGAGAAGGCAGGCTGCGATGCGTTCCTAGGGATGACGGACTTAGGGGGCACAACTCCGTGGCTCATCTGCTCTTGCTGCAACGCAGCGGGGTTAGGTGCCTCCGGGGTGGACACTCTTCTGTCGTGCTCTCGCTCCTGCTGTCACAGTAGCACAAGACATCAATGTTAACCAGTAGATTTGGAGTACTTTTAATACTATACTCTTAAGCCCATGTTGCAAACGTTGTCTTTGCATTGATGCAGAGCAGAGAATGTACAGAAATCTGCCTTTAAAAGGCAACTAATTGCTTTCTTTGTTCTTCGACGAGCTACTTACATAAATGTTCAGGACCCAGAGGAAGAAAAAACAGGGACAAATGACAGAAGCGACTACAACGAAAACTCTCATGCAAGGCTATTCTAGTGACTAAACACGATATAGCAAAAAACAAATGAAGCACATCTAATAAATTCATGGTTATGAAGATATCACACTTTTGCTTTGCCTCCTTTTCTATTGTTCAAGGTTTTTTGGATTTTTACTGTATATTACTTTTAGTTGACGTAGGAAAAGAAATTGGTGATGGATAAGCGATGATGAGGTTCCCAAAGAACAGTTTTAAGGAATCAGGAAGCTCGAAAATCAATGCAAGTGGACATTCCATCGAGAAGGGGTGTGAACTTATTGCCTCTTTCTATCAATTTTTTCCCCCTCGCGGCAGTACCTTGATTAGGTCCCTGCGTAGCAATTCGTCTTCCTCCTTGAGGTCCTCGACCCGGCTCTTCTTCCGGCCTCGTGGTACTTCCGGTGGCCGCATGTCCGCCCCGTTGGAGTTGGCCGCATCTTTGACTTCCTGAACCTACAACGGGAAGGGGCGATACGACGTGCAGAAGGGCTGCTTGATAGGACTGGAGGACCCGTGAAGGCCTTAAGGAGGAAGAGGGATACGAGGTACTCGGGACGCAAAGGAGGCTATGGGAATACAAGTTACGAACAGCTTACTTGGCGTTTCTACAAGGAATTTACGATACTAACAGACCATTTTGAATCCTCAAGTCTTTACTTTGAATTTCATTTAACTAGTTTTGAGCTTTTCTACTTTCTAAATAAGTAATAGCAGGCATCAGTGATAGTTAAATAAATGGCACTATGTTTTACTGATTGGAATCAACTTTAAAAAAATAATTCCTTGTCAATGCAGTACACAAATTAGTGTTTTTTTTTTTTTTTACTTAGCTCATATTTATTAAAATAATAAACGGGTATGTATTAGTAAATTGCTTCAAAATTTCCAGAATGGTCCTTCAGTAAGGTTAATGGAAATGGTGTTAGTAGGTCAAATGATTGCAGTGAGTCACAAAGTAGACAAACGCACACGTAAACAGTTCCTGCACAGTAATGATAGCTGAACACTAATCACTTACTTCCGGAGTGGTGTAGTCTCAGGTCATAAAGAGCGTTTTGTGAAAAAAGTGGAGTAGTTGTGAAGGGAATTATGACTTTCCCAATAACATTAACTTGACAGAGTGTGTGCCACTGTGAAAAAGCAATTTACATTTACAGCAGCTGAACTATTTCCTTTAAAGTATTTTCATCAGTGGATTGGGTTGCCGCAAAATGCCTGTTCGCCGAGCCTGCTTCCTAAGCTACCTTACAGCAATGTCAAAAGCCACTTACGAAATTTACCTGGCTATCATTTCGTCAACGAGCTCTGAGTAGCGCTGAGCGCCTGCCAACTCGGGTACAGTCCGCACAAGAGTATGAACGTGCCGGATTTAGATCGGTGTGCGCGGGGGGGCAGAGCGAGCGCGGCTCAAAGCGAAGCCCGCGTTATGGGGAAGAGTACGTCGATGCTTTACATTATTGGCGCATTTTAGTGCCGCGAACTAGTCGTAACAGATCATAATTTGTGTTCTGCTTTCCGGGCGTTTATGGATCCCTTTCGCAGCACCCCCCCCCCCTTTTTATCACCGCACGTGGGCTTCCTGAGTAGGCTGATATCAACCCTACAGCAGACAAGTTATTTTACGCCTTTTCAACAGAGCTGCAGCAATTACCTACTGTACTTGCACACGCAACGGCGCAACAATGCGAATACAGTAAAACAAAAATAAACGTGCAACACACTTGAGGAAACCAGCACACAATGCAAATATACTTGTGCTGGTAATTTTTCTGCAATTTATTTCTCCACGCGCGCGTTGGAGGTGTTAATGTGCACGCGTGTGCATGTGTGCGTGTTGGTGATGGTGGAGTGGCGACGATAGCGCAGGACGTACCTTGGCCTCCGTGATGGTTGGGAGGGTGGGTACAGTGGGCAGTGGGTTGACCGGGGTGCCCGGCACGAGCTGGTCCAGGTTGAAGGACGAGTGCACGCCTGGGTCGATGTTGATGGGCATCTTTAGACGCTTCTCCATGGAGCCGTCAGGCAGCTGCACCACAAAGTACGAGCCCCCGATGGACCCGCGCTCCATCTGGAAGCGCTTCTCCTCGGCCATCCGCTGCAGCAGCGGCTTCACGCCGGGGCCCTTAGGGAACTCCAGCGGCCTCATGAGGGCGCCGAACAGCTGTCAGAACATACAAACTGCAGTCAGAGCCAGCATCCAGTCGGGCGCAGCCGTGCTCGGCGGGCAGCGTCCACCCAAGGGGCAAACTTCCTTCAAAATATCATTGTAGTGGACACCCTCCAAAAAAAATAAAATCGGTGCAAGCCCCTTCGGCCCACCTCGCGTACTCACCGCGCAATTGAGGATGAGACCGGCGAGGATGAGGTTGGCACCCCACCAGTCGTACTCGCGCACCAGCATGGTGGCGAGCGGAGCGAACACGAACGTGCCGAAGCCCGAGCCGCACACGGCGATACCCGTGGCGAGCGAGCGCTTGGTCTCGAAGTAGTAGCCGACGCACACCACGGCCGGCAGGTAGATGAGGCCAAAGCCCAGACCTGGGGAGTGGGCGGGGATCAGACTTGCCCAACCACCATCAAGCGATCGAGTACCTCTCTGGCATTCACTTACCTCCCAGAACGCCGTAGGTTATCATGAGCACGTTCACGTTTGGAGAGAGCGTGCTGAGCGCGAAGGCAGCGCAGCTGATGATGCTCCCCGCGATGCAGACCGCCCGGCACCCATACTTGTTGGTGAGCGCGCTGACCACGGGCCCTGGAAAGCATAGTGGTGAGTACACACAACCAGCGTACGGTTGGTGTTGTGACTGTGATTTGCAAACACTAGTTTAGGCTGGTAGCCCTGCTTGTACCCCCCACTCTGCCATGATAATGTTTACATGTTTGATGTTCGCTACCTGGGAAGTCAGTCTCGACTTGGCCCTTGGCTGTATAGCATCCATCTAGAGCCAATAAAGTTATACGTCCACTACACCTGGAAGTCTTCATTTACGTTCACAACAGTTAGCTCAGCGAGTACTGCAGGGTGGCATATCTTCTGGTTATACTGTACTTCAGGGGTTACATACACGCCCCCAAGCCCGCCCGCCCGCACGCACGCCTGCATCCGGTTCAGTATAAACCAGAAGAAAGAATACCACCGATGGGCCACCCTGTACAGTTTTGGTTCTTGCTTTTCATTATGCTAGATACACGCAGGCTGCTCGTGCTTACCAGCGCTGAGGTACACGCCCGACAGGAGCGAGCCGACGAAGGACGTCTTCCCCTTGCCCTCGCCGAACACCTCAACGAATCGGTCGAGGAAGATGCCGAACGTGTACGCGATGCCGTCCACGATCATGTTGCACATGAAGGAGGCGAAGACGATGACCCAGCCGTAGCCGCCGTCGGGCGGCGGTGGCAGGTCGTGGTAGTCGCACAGCGACAGCTCGTCCTCCCCCGGGGAGGTGGGGTCGCCGTCGCCATACTGGCCGTCGCCCCGGGTCAGCCGGGTGTTCTCCTCGCCGCATGAGCACTCGCTCTCCGTCTGGAACAGAGAGAAGAGAGGGTTCGATGAGCACTGTCTCCTCAACCTCCATGGCTACCGGCCCGGCCACTTCTATTTTGGTTCCTTTTGCACGAGTTCGAAACATAATTCGAAACTATAATTTAGCGGCCAACACTAGAAAAACAAAAGTAACATATTAACTAATTGCACTGATTAATTAAGTGAGAAACTGTTCAACACTTGTGAGACTGCAACCAACTAACTGCGAGCTGAATGCTTGCAAGAGTTCAACTCCGTATTAGTACACTTCTACTTCTAGCCGGTAATCGTGCACGTGTAAGTGTGCAACTCCTCTGTTGAACACTTCGCCCAAAGTAAGTGTCCGATCTAAGGAAAGTGTTCAACAGAGCAGTTGCAAACTTACACGTGCACAACTACCGAGGCAAACAAGTGTACTACTTCGGATTTGAACACTTGGAAGTATTCAACTGGCAGTTGCACACTTGCAAGTATTCAACTGGCAGTTGCACACTTACAAGTGTTGAGCAGTTGCACACTTGGTTTATCGGTTTGAATTAGGTGTACAGACTATTACGCAAGTAGTTACCACCTCGGCAATTTCACAAACGCCTCTAAAAGGGCATTGATAGCACCATTGTTTTTCCAGTGAACCAAACTATATTTTTAATTTCTCATTTTTGTTATGTCTGAGGTTATGTCTATCTAAATGTTCTTACAATGTAACTATATTTTTTCCACTTTGGTTCGGGTTTTATTTTGCGTTCGGCCCTCGCATCAGTATAGGGATGCCGAGAGTCGCGAATGTGAATCGCTGGTCGCGTTAGCCCAGGAGAGAGAGTAGGGGTAGGCGGAGGAGGGGCGGATGGTCGGATGGTCTCCCAGCGGCAACAGCCGAGCTCCGATGGGGTAAGCGGCGCTGAGCCGCCACGTGGACAGCCCCTCGCGAGCGCCCTTCCTCCTTTTAACACTAACCCTACTCCCCCTCCGGCCACCCCCTCACAATCTCCTCCCGCTGCTACCCACCCATTCAGTATCGTGTCCGAGTCTCTCTCAAACAACACGACTGCCACAAATACGCTGGAGAGATATAGGAGAAGAGAGAAAAGGGTTGGGGGTAGACAGAGAGACAGAGAGAGAGGGAGAGAGAGAGAGGGAGAGAGAGAGAGAGAGAGAGGGAGGGAGAGAGAGAGAGAGAGAGAGACGAAGAGAGTAGAGATGGAGGCTGGTTGCACAGGAGCTATAGAGCAAACCTTGAGGGTGGAGGGCGGAGGTCTAGCCAGAGCAACTGAGCCCCCCGGACTCCTTCCGCGTTTTTCTCACCGCTGCCAGCACCACTAACGATGGACAAGGCAGCTCGACAAAAGTCGGCTTTGTAGCCTTTCGCTAAAGTTACATCAGAACATAAAAAAAGAACGCTTGAGCCAGAACAGAGGTGCCAAAAAAACACAGGATGGTGGTGCTACATTCGAACAGTAGTCGGAAAGATAATTCTAAGGTAACGGTGCGTGCATAGTAAGTCACTAGATTATATAAACCTTCGAACAGGGAGAATTGTTTTCGCTCTCCCTATTCTCAGTGCCTTATGCAAAGCGCGCCCGCTCCGCCCCATCTCTGATCCCCCCTGATGCCGCTGACTCCGCTGCTGCTGTCAATATCGTGTTCCCCAATTCGGTTCCCACCGCTTTTTATTTTCCCTCCGCCGCACGCCTTCCCAGCTTCCAGTGGCGGCGGCCAGGACGCCAAAGAAGCCTCAAGGCCGAGGCCAAACAGTAACAGACAAACAACGAGGGCGCAGAAATCATATTAGAAAAGTTGGGGGTGAGCAAAGCGGAGGGAGAAACGGGTGGGCTGCGAT